ACGTACGTGCTTACTAAGGTGGCTAACTTACCTCTTCCGAGTCGTAGGCGAACAGTCATCAGTCGCGCGCTGATGCCTGTTGGTTTGCCCACCAGCTGGCCATGGAGGCGATCGGATATCGCAAATCCGACCCCATGTTCACGTGGTGCTGATGCGGCGTTCCCCACCCAGTAGAATGTGTAGCCAGCACCTGCTTCACGTAACTTACCTTGCTCAGCGAGCCGGGTTTCACTGAGCGCCGCAATATCGATGTTGTAGCGCGCCAGATCCATCGCGACGAGTGCCGTGCGTCGCTCCGGGCGCTCGCTAGAGTTCCGGTCCAGTAGTGTGCGCACGTTCCAACACCCGATGTTGAGTGATTTGCGCGCAGGCACACGATTGCGTTGGTAGTCAATCGCACGCGATGTGGTCGTTGTGCTTCGGAGGTTTGCTTGAGGGACTCCACCCGGAGCCCTTGGCTCAATAGCCTGACCCAAAAGGCGGTGGGGAGCAGATCCAGCTCGGGAATGTGATTGCAGAGACAGATTGTGATCTACTTGACGGCCGTCACACGCAGCCTTTGAGGTTCTGGAACAATTATCATATGTTTTGCGACCGTAGTCGGATACGCACCTGCGACCACGGCCAGACATAGGTGGGTTTTGGCGGGTTTGCACCAATTTGACCAGGGGCTGCCTGGCTTGAGGCGGGCAGTAGCAAACCATTGAACACCCGGAGGTGCCCTCCCACCATTAGAGACAATGCGTGGCGCTCGTGCTCTACGCCAATCGAGCTGTGAGCTTATAGCCCGTGGACCTGTTGTCTCCCATGGCTAGGTTTTACGGGAAGAGGGTCATCGACCACTTCCTAACCTCTGAAAAGGATGCACTAGGATACTGGCAGGGCGCTCACATCTGACAGGAGAACGACTCGGGTCCTCAGCCAAAGCATTCGATTAAATGAACACCGAAAACGCAGCGGGGCTAGCACATGGTCCTTTCACTGACTCATGCGGATTGGTACCCTTGATCTTAGCAGGGAGAAGGGGGTAACCCAGCTCCCACCTAGCGGTCTCCAGGAGGAGGCGCCCATGACATGAAGCAAATAACGCAAAAGTAGCAGCAGTGAGTAGACCATCTGTCAGGATCTAGCCACCACCAGTCTCAGCAAACTTTAGGCTCTCCCGCCTACATGACTTGGCGGCGTTCGTATCCGGATTTGCCTGTCACCGTGACCTCCATGGGGACAATTATAGGACGCCTGCGCCTACTCAGGGCCATGGGAGGCTTGCGCTTCCATAACACAATTACATACATACACCCCATACACCAACATACACTGTTATTGTAAGCATATCAGATTTTTGCACTTTCTTTATCACGCACTGTTATGTCAAAGAGATCATGCCTGTAATGGCGAGCCTCGTCTTGTCGAAAATAAAAGCTTTATTTACTTATTTATCCATCATATTACTGGATCTTCGATGCCATAATGGTGACGTGAGCGAAGCAGGATTCGATAATCCAAGTGATTGAATGCTTTTGAGTGGTCCAAGTAGTTAACATCGTATCCTTTCCCGTAGTCGACTGTTTCTATAAAATTGTTACGTGATAGCAATAGATTCACGATACATGATCGATGTTGACGAAACCGGTGCTGCCCCGGCGCGAAGTTGACGTAGCATTCCAGGCAGCCCCTGAATATGTCTGAAAACATAACCTCCTTGACCTTGGCGAACACAGATAGAAGCGTTACTGTGCGGCAATTGACAAGTTCTTATCGACTTTTGCCCTTGTATCTAGGGATGATGATACCCAGCTACCACTTTGATGGAAATATGTACTCATCTAGCAGCTTGGAAAGAATTCATCTAGTGGTTCGTATAGGTACATGGCAGCTGTCTGCTGAATAAAAGTGGTGGTGTAGTGGCAGAAGCGGGATTAGCATCCGAGATTTGTACTCCTTGGAAAATAGGTGAGTACAGTGTGTGCTTTGGCTGATCCGCCTGCTCTTTGTGCATACCCACCAATTGTAACAAATGTCGGCATTCCGAGATGCACCATGTGAGGACTACTGAAGTGCTTGTGAAGAAGTTTGTGCTTCAGACAGAATCCTTTCGATCGCTCATGTTAGAATGTCAACTTGTCATAACGGGCCAATTGCACAGAGTAGTTGCCTTGAGTTCTGTACAGTGTCTAACTTTCCCACCTGGGATAGTTTTTGTAGACGTATCATGTCTCAAGAAGGAATGTGGTTTGCTTCGACGATGGAAAGCTTTTGGCTCTAATATTTTTGTGACCAGCGACACAAAGGATTTTACGATTTTGTCCCAAGCTGTTTCGGAGCCGCACTCATTGTGAACGTCCCACTAGCGTTTTCAACCAATGCAAACTATGGTGGTAATGGGTGACAGATTGGATGCTTTCAATCTCTCTTTCGAGGTATTCGGCGTAAAAGATGTACTAGAACGTTAGTGCCACGTGCTCGTTTCTCACAGAGGATTGCGCGCATTTAGACCATTAACCTTGAGCATTAGATCTAACATTGATGGCTTATTCGCTGTTCTGAACCTCGTGGGAGTGATGACGCGGTTGTACAGGGACGTGCTGGGGATCACTTCTCGCAACTTGGCTTTGAACTTTTCTCTCCTGGTTGCAGAAGTTTCAAGACCACTGATGTTAAAACCTTATCTAGCGAGAATGTGGCGGTATTTCTATTTCACTACATTACGCAAAACCGATCCTAATCTACAGTGCATTATAGGATTGGATTTGGCCGGTCGGTAAACTACGGACTCATGGCATATTTCGCCGATCTTTGACCACTATATGCACTAGATAAGTTAAGTAGCATGCTTTTGGTGATCGTCTATAAGTTCACAGCGAAGATTTGTGCTGTGACCGCGGTTTATAGTAGAACTGTCAGAACAAAAACCTTACACACCGAACAGCGTATTGACCAAACGTCGTCACCTGTAATAGGCAAAACAGCCAAAAAATATAGGGTCATATGAGAGCGTGTATCAGAGTGGCTGCCTCGCATGATCGAGCGCCTCATGCACATGAACCACTGTAGAGAAGTAGATAAGAGTGAAGTTCACGGTTAGGGGTGTGGAACGACGTTGTACTTCTAAGGCACCGGATCGTCTAGTGTAAGTCTGTGGGGTGCTATTCAGATGCTAATTACAAGAGGTGACACCTAAGAGATGTGCCGAGTACGGAAGGAAGGAGAATACTTAGATATTCTAAACCAAACATGCATTGACAAAAGGTAAAAGTATGGAAAGCAGGTGAGCAG